TGTGGAACTGGAGGGTAATTGGTGAGAGTCTCCTCTCTGGGGCCTGTCAACCCAAGAGTAATGACTTCTGGCCACTTCAGACCTGAGGTAATTTCAAACCAGCACAAGTTTCCATTTTTTCTCTTTATCTAGCCTGCTCTCTATGTTCAGTTATTCATGTGGTTCAATTACCCCGAGATCTCAAGGGAGAGACGCAGGGATTTAAGAAGGAAAAGAACCGATGCAGCTCCATATTTTATTTTATTATTTTTTTGAGATGGAGTTTCACTCTTGTTACCCAGGCTGGAGTGCAATGGAGTGACCTTGGCTCACTGCAACCTCCGCCTCCTGGGTTCAAGCAATTTTCCTACCTCAGTCTCCTGAGTAGCTGGGACTACAGGCGTGTGCCACCATGCCCAGCTAATTTTTTTGTATTTTTTTAGTAGAACCATGGGGTTCCACCATGGCCAGGATGGTTTCGATCTCTTGACCTTGTGATCCACCCTCCTCAGCCTCCCAAAGTGTTGGGATTACAGGCGTGAGCCACCGCGCCCGGCCTGCTCCATATTTTATATGGCATACAATACATAGGATGTGTGATAGTTCTGCACATGATGGTGGTCCATATTGGTGGGATGCGGTGGTTCACACCTGTAATCCTAGCACCTTAGGAGGCTGAGGTGGGTGGATTGCTTGAGCCCAGGAATTTGAGGCCAGCTTGGGCAACATGGTGAAACCTTGTCTCCAAAATAAATAAATAAATAAATATAGGAAAAGATTCTTTATAACAATAAAAAAAAATTCCCGCTCCTCTCTTCCTTTCTCCGCCATCGTGGTGTGTGCATTACTCCGTTTCTCGCCATGTCTTCTCACAAGACTTTCAGGATTAAGCGATTCCTGGCCAAGAAACAAAAGCAAAATCGTCCCATTCCGCAGTGGATTCGGATGAAAACTGGTAATAAAATCAGGTACAACTCCAAAAGGAGACATTGGAGAAGAACCAAACTTGGTCTGTAAGAAATTACACATGTGATGGCACACATATTTATGCTGTCTGTAGGTCACAGTCGTGTTACCAAATCAAGCTGAAAAATGTCACCGCCATCTGGAGAAGTTTGAACAGTTTCCTTTCTGTATCTGTTATGAAGGCATTAGTACAACGCACAGTGCTTCCATTATTCATGTTAAAAAAAAAAAAAACAAGGTTTTGGTTGCCTGGGTTTAAGAAAAAAAAATTTGAGACCTTTCATTTCATAAAAAAAAAAAAAAAAAAATTCCCAAAAGAATCATCTGTTCATCAGCAAAGATCTGCAAATGTCTCTGCTTTGTCCCATGCATATTTTTTATTTTTTTTTTAAAAGGTTCATTGTTTCTAAAATAGGTTAAAATTTCTTAACTAAAACATTGGAAACTAGAGTTCTTGGTACATGACTTTGTATAAAGTACTATTTTTCATTAATTGGCACGTGCTGTTTTATTTGCGGGTTGACTCATACTTAAAGGGATAGCTTTACACAGATTTGTTCATCAGCAAAAAAACATAATTAGCATTTTAGAAACAGTGATAATCGCTCTATCCATCTATAAGAACTGGTGGGGTTGATGTAAGACAAAATTGGCAGCCAGGAGTGTGGCTCATGCCTGTAATCTTAACACTTTGGGAGACCGAGGCGGGTGGATCATGAGGTCAGGAGGTCAAGTTCATCCTGGCCAACATGGTGAAAACCCATCTTGACTAAAATTAAAAAAATTAGTGGGACGTGGTGGTGCATGCTTGTAGTCCCAGCTACTTGGGAGGCTGAGGCAGAGGAATAGCTTGAACCCAGGAGGCGGAGGTCACAGTGAGCCAAGATCATGCCACCGCACTCTAGCCTGGTGACAGAGTGAGACTTTGTCTCAAAAAAGAAATTGGCCAATAAGAGAAACAGAGCTAGGTTGGTATAAAACAAAATTGGCTAATAAGAGAAATACAGCTAAAGAAATGGAAACAAAAAACCCAGCCAGAACCAGTTAGTTCTCTGGTCTTTTAGATAAGGTTTTACCAGTACTTGTATGGGTTTGGTAGTTAACTGCAGAACGGTATGTGGCTATGTGTTTAATAATTGCAAATGTTTACTCTTAAATTCACTTGCAGTGTCTAAATTATGAATAATTCATTCCATAGCATGGGATTGAGGAACCTCAAGAAATATTTTTACTTATCTTTATTAAATCCTAAATTAAAAGAGTCACTTTGCAGGGTGTGGTGGCTCACGCCTGTAATCCCAGCACTTTGGGAGGCCGACTTGGGCAGATCATCTGAGGGAGCTCGAGACCAGCCTAACCAACATGGAGAAACCCCATCTCTACTAAAAATACAAAATTAGCCAGACCTGGTGGCACAGGCCTGTAATCCCAGCTACTTGGGAGGCTGAGGCAGAAGAATTGCTTGAACCTGGGAGGCAGAGGTTGCAGTGATCCTAGATCACACCATTACACTCTAGCCTGGGCAACAAGAGAGAAACTCTGCCTTAAAAAGAAAAAAAAAAGAATCACTTCTGGTGTTAAGAACCCAGGATCCAGTCAACTTGTTTACGTATTTTTTTGAACAGATGACAGTGGCTGTGTAACAAATTACCCCTAATTTAGAAGCTTTAGAACCACAAACACTTATCTCCCACAGTTTCTGAGGCTGAGGAATTTGGGAGCAGCTTAGTTGTAATCAGACTGTAGGTCAGGGGATGCAGTGATCTCAAAGCTGCCCTGGGGCTGAATTCCTTCCAAGCTCACTCACATAGTCTTTGGCAGCTCCTTGCTGGCTGTTGGCTGCTGACCTGTTCTTTTGGGCCTTCCATAGCTTTCCTGAGTGTTCTCATAACATGAAAACTGGCTTCCCACAGAGTGTGTAACACAAAAGGAAACAAGCAAGGAAGAGAGCACGGAGATGGAGGACACAGCTTATTGTGTCCTAAACTTGGAAGTGACATCACTACTCCTGCATGCTAGTGGTCACCTAAACTAACTCTGGCCCAGTGGAGAAGAGGAAGCAGGCATCACTGGAGGCCATCTTGGTGGCTAGGCTACCACTGTGGCTGTCAAATCTTTGAGGTATTTATACTCCACTGAAAAACTTTAAAATAATGACCTAACAGCTTTTTTTTTTTTTTTTTTGAGACGGAGTTTCACTCTTGTTGCCCAGGCTGGAGTGCAATGGCGCGATCTTGGCTCACCGCAACCTCCGCCTCCTGGGTTCAGGCAATTCTCCTGCCTCAGCCTCCTGAGTAGCTGGGATTACAGGCATGCGCCACCATGCCCAGCTGATTTTTTGTATTTTTAGTAGAGACGGGGTTTCATTATGTTGACCAGGATGGTCTCGATCTCTTGACCTCGTGATCCACCCGCCTCGGCCTTCCAAAGTGCTGGGATTACAGGCGTAAGCCACCGCGCCCGGCCAGAAGCTCTTTTTTTTTATTAAACTGTATTTACTAAACAGCTAAGTACCTTATATGAGCAAGGCACTGTACAAGAGCTGTTGGGGATACCAAAAGAATATAATCTACAATTTACTGAAGTTATAAGCTGGAGAGTATGGTGCCTGGATGTGGGTTTAGAAAAGAAACCAGATGTCATTGTTACTGTACACCAAAAAAAAAAAAAACCCTAAAAACCAAACTCAACTGTCATTCTTATGGAATACAAATTTTAGAGATTGTTTACAATTTGCATGTGAAATTCTGCTTACTTTTTGATTAGGTATGCCATTAACGAATATATTTAATAAAGATATTTTATACCTCAGATGCACAGACCAGGTCCGGTTGATTTTAGCCAACAATGTATTGTTGAAAAAGATGCTGATGTTTTACTGGGGCAAAGCACCATGAACATACTTTTTAACCCCAGTCTATTTTATTAGGAATAAGCCTTGAAACTTGAACAGGACTAGTCTTTTATTCCTACCAATTTACCATTTCTAATAAAGGCTGTCTCATTCTTAAGTGGAAAATATTATTTCCTGCTTTTATAAACTTTAGTTGAACTAAATAAAACAGCAACATGTATTCAACCGTTTTTGGAATGTTTTATTCAGTACCTAAACACTCACTAAACTATACAGAGCTAAAATCATGCAAAAGATTGCAAAACAAACTGCCTTGGGAAACTTCCAGTCTAAGCTAAATGGACCAAGTATAGGATTGAATTTTAAGAAGTTGGTGGGAAGAGTCCAGCTCCTGTACTCACAGGTAAGGTCCTAGGATTCTAGTTTGTTAAGTGTCTGCAGGCCCTCTCCCGACAGCAGGGACGTGGAGCAAATGTGCATTCAGGAACTGCTTATTAGTCCCCCAAAGCCTTTTTCGTGACAACAGACGGATGGAGACCGCAGACGACTCTGGCGGTCGGACCCTGAACCAGATGCCTGAGCTGCGCACGGAAGGCTCGTTTCGCAGTAGCTGGCGAGTGGCTCGGGCTTCGGAGGCCAGGCTCGGGGTCCTGGGAGGGGGGTATCCTCCCGGGGCTCAGCCTCCGTCCGTCGGGTACTCTGTGGCTCGATTCATGTCCCCGCCCTCCCACCTGAGCACACCGGGCAGAGAGCCTGCAGCATCCGGCCAGTCGCGCCTCCTAGTCCGCCCTGGGCCAGTCGCTGGGCCACAGGCCGCTTTTTACAGCTCCTTTAATAAAGTGGACAGCAGGGATCCTAACCAGACGTGGCACCAAGACGAAGGACGTGGCCAGACGCGCCTCTAAGGGCCTGCTCGCGAGCTCCCGCCTACCCACTCCGTGGTCACCCGAGGACAGAGGCCAGGCCGGGCTGGGTGGAGTCGGGACGTCTACGTCTGCGTCCAGGAAGGCGCCGAGCGAGACCCGGCTGGACGCGACAGGCGGGGCAGAACACTGCGGTAGACTAGAAGCTCGCGGCCCACCGGCGTGGGGCGGGGCAAGGGGAGCCTCCCAGCATGCAGCCGGGTGGCCGGCTTCCGGCTGTGGGTGGTGCGGCGGCCGGCGGCGGCCGGAAGCGGGCTGAGCCGGCTTCTGGTAACGCCACCTGCACTTCCGGGGGCGTCGAGCCTGCCTGTAGAGTCTTCCCAGTAGGCGGCGCGGGAGGAAAAAGAGGTTTGAGGGGCCGGGCCGGGCCGGGCGGATCCCCTCCTCCCCCGATGTGAGCAGTTTTACGAACCCCCGTCAGGCGAAGGCTGCCCAGAAAGGTGGAGCCGGTAGCCGGCCCGGGAACATGAGGCAGTCTCTCCTATTCCTGACCAGCGTGGTTCCTTTGGTGCTGGCGCCGCGACCTCCGGAAGACCCGGCTTTCGGCCCCCACCAGAGACTCGGTAAAGACCCAGGGGAGTTGGCTTAGGCCGGCGCCTGAAGCGCTCGTTTGACGGAAGAGCTGGGGAGCTGGGTCTATCAGGTGTTTGGGGGCGGGGTATTGGCGATGGTGGCGCGTTTCTAAGTTTTCACTGTAGAAGGGGGTGTGGCTCTCTGAGTTTGGGGAAAGAATAAAGGAGATGCGCTTGTCTCTGAGTGGGATAGGGTTACTGGACGGGCCCCGTGTGGTGACTGGGCGCCTGCGAGGGCTTTGCTCCCTAGGTTTGTGTTTGGAGAGGGTGTTGGGAAAGCGGCAAGGAGAGGGGCTGCTGAATCTTGTTTGGAGAGGGAGATGTGGTCAGAGTTCCTGCCTTAGTAAGGAACAAATGTAGTGTGCTGTGTTCCTACCAAAGGCACAAAGGAAGGGCCCAAAGCCCCGGAATTCTTCCTGGTCCTCTAAGGAGGGAACTAGAATTTCTACTGTAGGAGGTACTTATGCAGTAATCTGGTTGGGAGGCGGAGACTGGAGCTGGAGTCTTGGAGTTGTGTTTTTGCGAACATCCTAAGCACGTTCTTGGTTATTTAAATTGTATCTTGTTGGCGGTGCTTGGGAGATGGGGGGAAGCGAAACCTGCTAAGCCAACTCGTGATGCTGCCACTGTGAATGCTTTCCTTGCACTTTAAAACTATCAGAAATGACGAGTTTGATCCGTTTAGAGGCTAGAAAGTAGAGGGTTCCTATTTTATTAGATTTTCCAGAGAGTTTGGATTTTAAGGATGGTATTCATTAAGGGATCTGAACTTTGGTGGAAGTAAGTTTGCGTGAACTTTAAGTGTATTTTAAGTTCCTTTTAGCTTTTAAAAATTGACATGTAAGACACTTTGATTAATTAGTAATAAAGTGTGAAATAATGTTTTCCCAGCGTGTGAAATTGCAGGCTTGCATGGTTTTACTGGTCCCCAGATTTCACCATGATACCATGTATAGTATGTTTTTCTTTATGTTTAGTGGACAGAAATTGTAATGGACTTGAGAGTGTTATCACTTAACAGCTGCCTTATGATTGTTTCCAATTGAAATGGATTACAAGTGACTAATGAAAGGCAAGGCGTCTAGATAGGAAGTGCTGAAAAGTGGTAAGTCAGTACAAATTGAAGGACATTTTGAAGTAGAGTTGTGGTTAGGATGGCGGGATAGGATAAGGATCTTCATTTTAAGAATAAATGTTAGTAAAAAGAATAAATATGTATTTTGAGATATTAAAATTACGTTTGCACCACCCTGACACAACTGTTTTACTTACGTTATTACCATCCTGTTGTTCATAGGTGGAAAAATAAGCATGAATCCTAGGGAAGCATACAGTATAAAGAAAAACATTACTCTCTAGATCGATTCGTAACATTTGCAGATCATAGGTTTTTTTAGACCATATGTTTGTTTTTTATTTGCGAAGTGTAGACCATCTGTGGCAGAAGAATGCATAGACTTGCCCTTTTTTGTTTTTCCACACAGAGTCTTGCTCTGTTTCCCAGGCTGGAGTGCACAACCTCGGCCTCCTGGGTTCAAGCTATTCTCTTGCCTCAGCCTCCCGAGTAGCTGGGATTTTAGGCACGTGTCACTACACCTGGCTAATTTTTTGTATTTTTAGTAGAGACGAGGTTTCACCGTGTTAGCCAGGATGGTCTCCATTTCCTGATCTCGTGATCCCCCCGCCTCGGCTTCCCAGAGTGCTGGGAAGGCGAGCCTGATTGCAGGCATGAACCACCGCTCCTGGCCGACTTGCCTTTTTTCTTTGTTTTAACGAAGTATAGGGGAAGAACACATACTGTCTGCTAAGTATTATACATGGCATTGGAAATGCAAAGATCAGACAATATCCATCTTCAGATGCTTATGGAATAGTGAAGTAGACATCCATTTAGAACAGACACTTCTAAAACAGCATAGAGGAGAGTGGTAGAGTACAATATAGCAGGTATTATCACCAAGGGCCACTGGACCCAGCCTAGAAAGGTTAGTGAAGACTTACTGGAGGAGGTGATACTTTGAGACCAGATTTTAAGGTTAAGTAGATGAAGAGGGAAAATATGGACACTGCTGGTGGTGGAACTTAGGGATCAAGTCTAGTTTTTAAATAAAGGAGGAGGAAAAATGAGTCTCAGGAAGATGCCTGTCAGTTGTCAGGTTCTCTCAGTGATGAACATAGGCCTTGTGGGTATTTTTTCCTTTTGAAGAATGACTTTTTTTTTCAGTTTGACAGCTTACAATGTAATTTGTTGCTTAACCCTACCATTAGTTAGATTGAGTTGGTCAAGACTAGCAAATAGTTATGTAGTTGAAAAGCATGGTTTATTATTTATTTTTTATGTTTATTGTCCTACAAAAATTACTGTACTGCAGTACTAAATATTGATTACGCATATGACAACATTTTTCTGAAAGGCAAAAAATACACAGTAAATTGAAGCCTGGCTTTTAGAGTACTCTATGGGTCACCAAAAGTGATTTCAATCGAACTGTTATGAATTGCATAATCTGGGAAAGTTATGAGTCATATGAGCTTAGTCATGATGATATATTGTTGAAGTTGCAGCTGGGGTGTGTAAGTCTCACTTTGATTTCAAAATTGTTTTCCCTTTGTGTTACTTTTAATAAAAGAGGATGTAGTGGGTGGAAGGAAAAAATATAGGTCACTGATGAGGGATGAAAGTTGGTATCTGAAACATGTATTTTGAAATTTACCTTGAGGTTATTGGCAGGGGGGTTTCCATATTACAGTGCTGGTTTCATTATTGAGAGCACCATTTTACTCAGTATTTTGACATCTGGCTTTCTCTTTTGATGTTAATTTTGCTTATTGGCTGCATTCCTTTGAAACCTAAAAGCTTAACCGCCCTGACTGCAGCAAGAGAGATTTAATGTAACTTTGCTTTATACTAGTCTAAGAGATAAAACATATTTCAAGAGTAGAATGGAGAGGAGTTAAGCAGAGAATTGTGTTGGGGAAACTGGAGAGATCATTTTGACTTTCACAGGATTTCCTAGAACATTAAATGTAGGTTTCCTCCAAGGCCAATTGTGGTTGATTTTTGGATCCTTCACCATTTTTCTATTTGTGAGAGATGGTAAGTCTGTACAGCTGGAGGTGTAATGTGAAGAAAGTCTGAAAGAGATTGATAGGAAAGGAGGACAGGAATGGGCTTCATTGAGGTAAGGGAAGTGAAGTGAAGGGCTTTTCGTATACAGGTTGATCATCGCTAATCTGAAATGCTCTAAAATTGGAAACTTTTTGAGTGCTGGCATGACACCACACATTACCCTGAACACACAATTTTTTCACTGTATTAATGGTATATTTTTTAATGTGTAGTACTTATGTGTGAATAGGTATAAGAAAATGATTGCTTATTGGTAGCATGTAAAAATCAGTCAGGAATGATGGTGATGCCAAACACACACAGATTATCCACGTGGGTAGCCAAGACATGACATCTTTGCTTTCTAATGGTTCCTTGTACACAAACTTTTTTTCATGCAAAAAAATTTACTTAAAAATATTGTCTAATGTTTAAGTGTGTAAGGTGTATATGAAACATAAATGAATTTCATATTTAGACTTGGGTCCCATCCCCAAGATACCTCATTATGTATATACAAATATTTCAAAAATTTAAAAATTCTGAAGAATGAAACACTTCTGATCTCAAGCATTTTGAATAAGGGATGCTCAATCTGTATCTCTTTATTTAGTCGTAAAATCAGCCAAGGAAATGGGCATCTCTCTGTTCCCCGAATTTTTTTTGGGGGGAGGTTTACATGAGTTGTAGACTTTAACAAGTCTAATCCACCAACCTGGTTTCACTTCATTTGACAGTGTTCTGCTTATGACTAAACATGTATCTCTGAGCTGGGTTTGTTCTCTGAAGCTCATATTCAGCTGCCTATTTGGCACCTCAAATATAACATGTCTAAAATTAGTTACCTATTCTTTTTTTTTTTTTCTTGAGATGGAGTCTCACTCCGTCGCCCAGGCTGGAGTGAGGTGGTGCAACCTTGGCTCACTGTAACCTCCACCTCCCAGGTTCAAGTGATTCTCATGCTTTAGCCTCCTGAGCAGCTGGGATTACAGGTGTCCACCACCATGCCTGGTTAATTGATTTTTAATAGAGACGGGTTTCACCATGTTGGACAGGCTGGTCTTGAACTCCTGACCTCTGTTGATCTCCTGCCTTGGCCTCCCAAAGTGCTGGGATTACAGGTTTGAGCTACTGCCCTGGCCAGTTACCTGTTCTTTTGATTGCAAGAACGAGTAGCTGAAAATAAATAAAATAAAAGGCCAGGTGTGGTGGCTCACACTTGTAATCCCAGCACTTTGGGAGGCCGAGGTGGGTGGATCACCTGAAGTCAGGAGTTTGAGACCAGCCTGACCAACATGGAGAAACCCTGTCTCTTTAAAAAAAAAAAAAAAAAAAAAAAAAAAAAAAGAGTAGGTAGCTGCATGCAGTGGCTCACATGTATGATCCCAGAACTTTGGGATGCTGAGGCAGGTAGATGACCTGAGGCCAGGAATTTGAGACCAGCCTGACCAACATGGTGAAACCCTGTCTCTACTAAAAATACAAAAATTAGCCAGGCTTAGTGGCCCATGCCTGTAATCCCAGCTACTCAGGAGGCTGAGGCAGGAGAATTGCTTGAACCCGGAAGGCGGAGGTTGCAGTAATCCCAGATTGCGCCACTAAACTCTAGCCTAGGCGGCAGAGTGAGACTCCATATCCAAAAAAAAAAGAGTATAGGATACAGGTTTGGGTTAGGACTAGGCAGGGCTTCTGGTAATTGTGGAAGTAGTCTCATTGCCTAACCTGAAATTTGCATCCTGGTTACTGGTCTTACTGGAGAGTCTTGGCTCAGGTTAAATCCCAGGCCTGTCGAGGAGTTCTTGATAGGGAATTAGTTGAAGCAGCTCATACTCCATCCTCCTTTACTGCTATAAATCCATACAGTTGTTTAGTTCCCAGGCTC